AAGAGACCCCTTCAGATAAATATATTAGCAGACATAAAAAGTGCAAAGGAAAGGTTGGAGGATAATATTGTCTTCTAAAAAGTAGACCCAAAAGACAAAAAGATGGAAAACGGGAAAGGAAACTGGGGAGTCAGTTCAAGATGTCTGGTGAGTGTCAGAGAGAGAAGAGAGAAAATAGAGGGAAAGGAAATGACCAAAGAATTAATACAAAAAAGTTATCTAGGCCTGACAGATGCAAGTTTGCCTTGCTCAATACCAATGCATATCATTATGAAATTTTGTACAACACATAAAGAAAATATTCTAAAACTGTACAAGAAAGTAGGTGATATACAGGGTTTAAGAATGAGAATGGTAACATAAGGTTTCAGACTTCTCAGTGGCAACAATGGAAAGTAGAAGACAATTGAACCATGCCTTCAGATGTTGGGAAAAAATTGATTTCCAAAGCAGAGTTGTACCGTATTTAGCCAAACAAATTGCCAAGTATTGGTAGAATCAAGACATCTTCAGACATATAGGGTCTCAAAACATTTACCACCCTATGCCTCCTTTATCAAGAAGTAATAGAATGTTTGCTCTACCAAGACAAGGGAGTAAACCAAGAAAGGAAACTATGGGATCTGGGAAAAAGGAGACTCATGACAGAACTGAAAAAGGGCATCCTCAGAGATAACCTAATTTGTACAGCTGACAGAGAGAAGTAGGTCAAAATTGTAATGGAAGGATGGATGTCTCCAAAAAACTGAAATCGAGAGAATACCTGAAGTAGGCAGTTTCCTTTAGATGGAGTTATTGGTTGCAGACAAGAAATGATTGACATTGCTAGTGCACTGTTTTAAGAGCATGATGTTCTTGGTCATTTATTATTACTAGGATAGAGACTGTGGTTTATTCTCCCATGTCTTCTCTAAAGTTCTATTTATCTTCTAAAATACAGTATGTTATCAATAAAAAAATTTGTTAGAATGTTAAAGTACTAAGCATCTATTATACACACTATAAATGTTTAGAAACTACTCTGTTTTATAGTTATGCACCACATGACAATGTTTTGGTCAATGACAGACCGCATATAAGATGGTGGCCCCACAAGATTATAATGGAGATAAAAATTCCTATCTGCTAACATCATAGCCATCATATTGTCATAGCACAACACATTACTCACATGTTTGTTGGTAATGCTGGTATAAACAAACCTGCTGCACTGTCAGTCATATAAAAGTGTAGTACATACAATTATATATAATACATAATACTTGATAATAATGACTATGTTACTGGTTTATGTATTTACTATACTATACTTCTTATCATTATTTTAGTTTACTCCTTCTATTTGTTAAAAAAAAAAAGTTGGCCAGGCACGGTGGCTCATGCCTGTTAAGTAATCCCAGCACTTTGGGAGGCCGAGGTGGGCGGATCACGAGGTCTGGAATTTGAGACCAGCCTGACCAACATGGTGAAACCCCATCTCTACTAAAAATACAAAAATTAGCCGGTGTGGTGGTATGCACCTGTAATCCCAGCTACTCAGGGGGGCTGAGGCAGGAGAATCGTTTGAACCTGGGAGATGGAGGTTGCAGTGAGCCGAGATCGTGCATTGCAACCCAGCCTGGGCAGCCAAGCAACTTCATCTCCAAAAAAACAAAAAAAAACCAAAAAAAAACCCAAAAAAACAAAAGTTAACTGTGAAACAGCCTCAGGCAGGTCCTTCAGGAAGCATTCCAGAAAAGGGAGTATTATGATAATTATGATAGGAGATGATAGTTCTATGGGTATTACTGCCCCTGAAGACTTTCCAGAGGGAAAATATGTAGAGGTGGAAGACAGTTAATATTGATAATCCTGACTCTGTGTGTAGGCCTAGGCTAATGTGTGTGTTTGTGTGTTAGTTTTTTAAAATAATATTTACAGTGGTTTTATTAATACTCATTAAAAACTAGAAACAGCACAAATGTTCAACCCAGAGGTGAATGTATAAACAAACTATGGTGCATCCATACAACAGACTACTCAGCGGTAAAAGAGAACCAACTACTGATTCACACAACAAAATGGATGAATCTCAAATGCATTTTGCTAAGTAAATGAAACCAGACTCAAAAGGCTACATACAGTGTTGTTCCGTGATTCCATTTATAGGACATTTGACAAAAGCCACAATTAGAGAGACAGAAAACAGATTATTGATGGGCAGTGAAGAATAGGGGTGCTGCAAAGTGGCCCAAGGGAACTTTTGGGAGTAATAAAACTGCTCTCTATATCTTCTGGGAGTTACATGACATATGTATTTGTTAAAATGAACAATTGGGGAGGGGAAATGGGAACTCCTGTTTAATGGATACAGAATTTCTATTTGAGATGATGAGAAAGTTCTGAACATGGATAGTGGTGATAGTTGCATGACATTGTGAATATACTCAGTGCCCCTGACTTATACACCTAAAAATGGTTAAACTGGTAAATTTTATGTTACATGTATGTATTTTTAACTTTTATTTTAGGTTCAGAGGTACATGTGCAGGTTTGTTACATAGGTAAATTGAGTGTCACATAGGTTTGGTGTACAGATTATTTCGTCACCCAGATAATAAGTATAGTACCTGATTGGTAGTTTTTCGGTCTCCTTCCACCCTCAAGTAGGCCGCAGTGTCCATTGTTCCCTTCTTTGTGTCTATATGTGCTCAACGTTTAGCTCCCACTTATAAGTGAGAACATGTGGTATTTGGTTTTCTGTTCCTGTGTTAGTTTTCTTAGGATAATAGCTCCATCCATGTTGCTGCAAAGGACATGATCTCATTCTTTTTATGGTTGTGTCATATTCCATGGTGTACGGATGTAGAGAAAGAAAATGTGGTACAGTCTACTGTTAATGAGCATTTAGGTTGATTCTAAGTATTTGCTATTGTGAATACTGCTGTGATGATGTGTCTTAGTTTTTGACCAAAATGTTTAAAAAGGAAAAATGTAAAAATTTAAAAATAGAGGCCGGGAGTGGTGGCTCACACTTGTAATCCCAGAACTTTGGAAGGCCAAGGCGGGCAGATCACAAGGTCAGGAGATTGAGACTATCATGGCTAACACGGTGAAACCCTGTCTCTACTAAAAACATAAAAAATTAGTTGGGCGTGGTGGCAGGCGCCTGTATTCCCAGCTACACAGGAGGCTGAGGCAGGAGAATGGCGTGAACCCAGGAGGTGGAGCTTGCAGTGAGCCAAGATTGTGCCACTGCACTCCAGCCTGGGCAACAGAGCAAGACTCCATCTCAAAAAAAAAAAAAAATTAAAAAATAGAAAGAAAGTTTATAGAATAAGAATATAAACAAAGAAAATATTTTTGTACAGCTATACAATCTGTGTGTTTTAAGCTAAGTGTTATTTCAAAAGAGTCAAAAAGTTTAAAAAAAAAGTTTATCAAGTCAACTAAGCTTGATTTATTATTGAAGAAAGAAAAAATTTAAAAAAATTTATTGTAGCCTAAGTATACAGTGTTTATTAGGCCCTGTGTTGGTGAGTAATAATGTCCTAGGCCTTCACATTCGCTGGCCATTCCCTCACTGACTCACCCAGAGCAACATTCATGGTAAGTACCTTATATAGTTACATGTGTACCATTTTTAATCTTTTATACCTCATTTTTCCTGTACCTTTTCTATATTTAGATAGCCTTAGTTATAAAAATACTATTGTGTTACAATTGCCTACACTACTCAGTGCAGAAAGATGCTGTACAGGTTCGTAGCATAGGATCAATAAGCTATACCATATAGCCTACGTGTATAGTAGGCTATACCATCTAGGTTTGTGTAAGTACACTCTATGACCTTCATACAGTAACAAAATCACCTAATGATGGAATTATCAGAACATATTAGATATGTTGCCATAATTTTACATAATTTATCTTTGCATATTGATACTCTAGATGTAACTGAGAATTCTCTAAATAGAGTACTATGAATAATATGGAATTCATATGAGATGGATTTATATATGTAATACGGAAAGTAAGCAAGATTTTTTTTAAAAAGAAAAGCAGATGACAGAACAGTGTATGATATGGTCTCATCTGTATTTAAAAATATATATGTATTTTTACATACTTTTATGGTTATATAGGCAATTTCTGGAAAGATATAAAAGAAACTACTAAAGTGGTTACTTCTGGGGAGGAAAACTGAGAGAATAACTTTACTTTTTTAAAAAACAAATATCCTTTTGTGTGGCTTGACATTTTTCACCTGAATGTACATAGCTCTGTAAACAACTTAAAGATTCCAGATGTATTAGGCATGTAGGTAGGAGTTCTATCACTGTTTATCTTTTTATAGAAATTTACTTGGATTATCAGCAGACATTGGAAAAACCTAATAATATTGATGACACTGATTTACTAGCTTTAAAAACCTAGTCTTATAAAACACGTGGTAGTATTTTTACTCTATAAGATTATTTTGTGGGAGGGAGAGTGTGGTAGTGATTCTGTTATGTTAGTTCAATGAAGTAATTAAGTTAATATGGTAAATATTTAAGTTATGCTTTAAAAGTATTAATTTGAAATTAAAATGAAAATTGTATTTAAGAGTTTTCTAGCCAGTTAATTTCTAAAATAAACAGATAGTGGAAAAAATGTTCTATGGTAGTTAAATTTCTTTAGTAGAGTTAGGCTGGATTGTGCTACATTTCATACTTTTTAGTGCTGTACTTTATATTACTTTTTCAGCACATTAAAACTTATGCAGTGAAACTGAATAATGGCAATGTTTTTATACCCTTTTATAGCCATTTCTTTATCATAACCTCCCCCTATTTTCTGTTAGCTAAACTATAAGCACCTTTCCATTAATTTATGAAAATTATTGTTGAGATAGCACATTATCACTGATCTGTATGGCACTTTCAGCATGTTAGAAGCAAAGGTCCAAGCAACATAAAACACATCAAAATTCATTAATGTGGTATTGATTATTTTTTGGATAATTAATTTTATTGCAGACCCTTGAAAGAGATAATGAGCTGCAAAGGGAGAAGGTAAAAGAAAATGAAGAAAAGTTTCTTAATCTTCAATACGAGCATGAAAAAGCACTAGGAACTTGGAAAAGACATGTACGTTTATTAAATAGTAAAATAGTAAAATATTTTAAATAGTTTTAGACATTTAAAATAACTATAAATGCTAAGAAAATGTTGCAAAAATATTAGAGGACTAAAATCAGACACATTTTTTTCTTGGTCTCATATTTCCAAAAAGGTGAATGCTTTTTAAAAGCTAAACTTAATGAAATTCCCTGTAATGCTTTTATGCATGGAAGACCACAGGAATACATGTTTGTGTATATATGCATGCATATATATATATATAATTTGAGCTCCCATATGTGACAAAGAAAAATTAATTTACTTTTTCATAAAACCATTGCATAGTATTTTAGTAAATGATTAAAATAAATAATTATACTATCATTAGCTGATCTCTTTTGCTTTTCTTAGCAGTTTTGTTGAGCTATATTACAGCCATGTTTAGAACATGTGTGCAGTAGTTTATTTCTGTAGTATTACCATTTTATCATATTAACAACATATCATAAGAGTTTATATGTTCTAAACATGGCTATTTCCTTAAATCACATTTGTTTATTTTATAATAAATTTTAATTCAGCAAAGTAGATAATAGTGTAAAATGAGGTAAATTCAAGTTATGAAATATAAAGTTTCACTTTAAATATTGGTAGACCCCAAAACTGATTATTCCATGCTAATATCAATTTTCATTGCATTTAAAATTTTTTTTAAATAAATGACAGAGTAGAAAGTCACTATGAGTTTATGAAGCTATATTTTGGAAAAGTATGATTATGTTTTAGACTGTTGTGCTAATTATACTATACAATATATTATAGTAATGGATATCTAAATACCAGCTTGATAATATTTCCTGTAGATTATTTTGTTTGATTCAAATTATTACCTAAGTAACTCTTGATTTGATTCTTTTGGAACTAACATGTTTTCTTAATTTATAGTTTGGATAGATTAAGTCTTCACTGATGGTTTTGATAAGTTTTACTTAAATCTAAGAAAAATTTTGTATTTAATTGTATCAGAATACTAAAAAATCCTTAATTGGTATACTAGTACAGTTTATCATTAAGCAACAAGCATAATAATGTTCATTTTAGCATCAGTTAATCTACATTTTATCCCTGTACCTTCTTTTCATCCCCAATGTTTAAAAGCCCATGGAAATGGTGCTATCAGAATAAGGAAAACTATTTAAGTGAAAAGGAAATATAAACTTAAATATGCCAAACATGCAAAAAAAACCAAAAAAACAAAACAAAACAAAACAAAAAAAGATCAGTTTAGCTAAGAAAATTAAACGTTCATTTTCTCTGAGACTACAACCATGCTCCTCTCCCAAGAAAAAAAGAAAACTATTAAGAAAAAATAAACAGTTTCACTGGTGAGGCCTCAATCTATAAATGTGGATAAAGTTGATTTCATCTTAGAATTTCTAAGTTCTGCAATCATTTTGCTTCCATTATGCTTTTGTACTCAACAGAATATAGATAAGTAAGAAAAAGCTGCCTTGGTTCTGTAAGAGTTTTCTTCAGCGAGAGATCACATTTACTTTTTAATTGTATTTCTATCTGTAAGTTTTTCACCATTCTTGAGTGAAGGACAATAGTAGTGTGGCTACTGAGATTGGATCAAGATAGGTTAAAAAAACAAAGATACTGATAAAAATAAATTGGAATCATATAAACTGCTGTTTCATATTTGGTCATTCAAAAAAATAAACAGTGAAAGAAAATACTATGCTAATAAAACTTCCATATTATTAGATAGTATATTTAAAATTCATTGAAATATTAAAAATAACAATGTTATGTGTATCTTTTTATTTTGACTAGATATATAACCAATGGTTGTTATAGAGACAAAAAGACAGTAAGTGAGAATGTTCAGAAATTAGGGAAAGGGAGGTCACAAAAAGAATTCAATTCAGCCAGGCTTGGTGGCTCATGCCTGTAATTCCACCACTTTGGAAGGCCAAGGCGGGTGGATCACCTGAGGTCAGGAGTTCAAGACAAGCCTGGGCAGGATGATGAAACCCCGTCTCTACTAAAAATACAGAAATTAGCCGGGTGTGGTGGCGGGCGCCTGTAATCCCAGCTACTTGGTAGGCTGAGGCAGAGAATTGCTTGAACCCCAGAGGTAGAGGTTGCAGTGAGCGGACATTGCGCCACTGCACTCCAGCCTAGGCAACAGAGTGAGACTCTGTCTCAAAAAAAAAGGAAAAAAAGAACTCAGTTCACAACACTTATCGAGCACGTACTATGTGTTAGGCACTATTCTAGGCACTGGGTTTTCAAAGATGCCTAAAATACAAGGATTATCAAAGAGCTTACACTCTGCAGGGACAGATAACTACGTAATTAATCACAATAGTGCAAGGTACTTTTTAGTATTATTAACAAAGTACTATGAAAGCACAAAATAAATCATTTTTCTTTAGCTGGGCTTGAGAAAGTTTTAGAGGAAAGATGACTATAATTTGGCCTTGAAAAGTGAAATAGGATTTTTTTGGGGGGATTGTAGGGGAGATGGAGTCTCACTCTGTCGCCCAGGCTGGAGTGCAGTGGCACCATCTCGACTCACTGCAAGCTTCACCTCCCGGGTTCAAGCAGTTCTCCTGCCTCAGCCTCCTGAGTACCTGGGACTACAGGCGCATGCTACCATGCCTGGCTAACTTTTTGTATTTTAGTAGAGGTGGGGTTTCACTGTGTTGCCCAGTAGCTGGTCTCGAACTCCTGAGCTCAGGCAACCCACTTGCCTTGGCCTACCAAAGTGCTAGGATTACAGGCATGAGCCACTGCGCCCGGCCCATGAAATGGGATTTAAGGCCGGGCGCGGTGGCTCCAGCCTGTAATCCCAGCACTCTGGGAGGCCGAGACGGGCGGATCACGAGGTCAGGAGATCGAGACCATCCTGGCCGACACGGTGAAACCCCGTCTCTACTAAAAAATACAGAAAACTAGCCGGGCG